CATAACACAGCGAAAAATTGACCCAGGGACGGCTCGTATCTCAAAAAACTTGTACGTTGTGACACTCTAAAGTCAAGGTTCCACTGTACTTTTATGTATCTGAAACAGAAGTGTGTATTTTTATCCCTTCAGGAACCTTGTCATCATTGAGCAATACTTTTCAAAGGAAGACTCATTCAAGCAGTATACACCAAGCAAGAGGAAACTTTCATATCAAGTTGTTTGTGTTAGACTCTGAATGCCTTGGTATTGGATCTGATCATGTAAACAGGAAGCAAAACATTAAAAGATACTAGGAAGTTATTGGGTATCTCTGGTGATGTGGTGAAAACAATGATGGAACAATATCTTGGCAAGGGGCATACACTATACACACAACTGGAACACAAGCCCATTAATTTACTGTGCTAAGACAGAAGTGTGGGGTACAATGCAATGAACACAAGCATATGTTCAGGTTTAACACAGGCACTGGTACAGGTGAGGTGCAGGTGTTGCACTACAGTGATTTGGCAAATGCGATTTAACATTGACCAATTCACCACAATGAAACAAGACACGGGAAGAATGAATACACAACTATTAACACATTCTGAAACTTGCAGCTGTCACTGATTACACCACAAATGTGTGTTTGGACAAATGTGACATTCAGATTGGATTTGTTTGCAAGAGTTATAAATGGTACATGAAACTTCTGCCATCACATGGACAATGCAATACAGTGCATACAATATGTACCAGATGACAACCAGCAACAGATCACAATACACTTACTCATGTTTATCAGGAAGTACAGAAATACCAGATCAACACCTGCAACCCTGAGGTGATCAACTACCCTCTCACTTGAGGTATAGTGATCACTTCCTAATGACAATTCCTTCTACAAACAAGATACAGGCTCAGAAGAGATGTCTGTACACACACAAGGTGCCCAGCAAAGCACAGACTTTTCATAGTAACCTTTATGATAAAGCAGGTGACATACTGAATACCCTTGTTTGTTCAGCAATGTTCCTAAATGCTATACTCTGTGTGCATGATCTTCTTACAGGAAGTCATACAAAGAACTGAGAAAAGAAGGCTAATAGAAAGAAGGTTATTAGAATGCAGCAAGTCTTTGGGCTTCACCTTGCATTTTAGTGTGAAAACCTGACGGCAATTTCAGGATGTGTACCAATTACTATTAAGTAAATGCAGTTACCTTACTAGACGGATGCCCCTTCCCACACATTGATAACTTTGTTGACCATGTGCTGGGACCTCCATATGCAAGCCAATTGGATCTTTTACACGGATATTATCAAGTCCTGCTTACTAGGCGAGCCCAAGATATCCGCTTTCACTGTTCAAGAGTGACTGTTCAACTATCTCTTCATACCTTTTAGCTTGTGCAATGCAGCTTCTTCATTCCAGCGCCTGATGCACGAGTTGACCTACAACTTGAAAGATATTGAAGCATACCCAAATGACTTAGTGGCTTATAGTGATGACTGGGAACTTCACCTGACATGCCTCAAAGCATTGCTTGAAAGATTGGCACTACAACTTCAGTGAACTTTCCTAAATGTAGCTTTGGACAAGCTAAGATAACATACCTTAGTTTTCACATAGACCAAGGCAATGTTGCTCCTGTTGATGTAATGGCTTGTGCCATTTTGACTTTTCTAGTGTTGCAACAGGGAGAATCCAGATATATCTAAATATGGCTGGTACTGCTGCTTATTTCACCCCAATTTCTCTTAGATCACTGCTCCCTTACAGAATGTACCACAAGGAAGGTTAAGTTTTGCTGTACTCCCAGTTGTGACCTATCATTTGCTTGATTAAAGCACCTGCTTTCCTTGGCTCCTGTCCTTAAAAGCCCAAACTTTAGCAAGCAACTATACAGTGGGGGCTATGCTGCTGCTAAAGTTGTCAGCTGCTGACACTGCATCCTATGTTACTTTTCCTGAAGCTTGAGCATCACCAGAAAAAAACTGCTACCAATGAGAAAAAGGCATTAGCTCTGGTGGTGATGTGATTGTAGAGCATTCTGATGTATATTTCACACTTGAATTCAAAATTAAAATATTTTCCAACCACAACCTTCATCAACAAAATACACAATACCATGGATGGAACAATACATAAATAATTCTCATAGCAGAAAGAAGTTCATGATGTTTCAGTCCAACCCACTGAGAAGGGGTGTGGTGGGGACAATAAGGGAACATTGTATCAACATTCAGGGACCTAGACCATTCAACATCTTACCAGAAGATATCAGAAACAGCTGGAATAAGTGTAGAAGCCTTCAAGAAGAAACTGGACAAGTATCTTCACCAGGTGCCAGATCAACCAGGCTGTGATGGATATGTGGGGGCTGAGGGCCCCCAGCAGCAACAGCCTAGTTGACCAGGCAAGCACCAGACGAGCCTCAACCATGGCTGAGCTCAGTAGTGAAATTCTTGACTCTTCAAAGGTATATCAACTTCGACCACCGACCAGTGTGACTAGTCACTGGTTAAGTCAGGCCAAAACATTGTCGTAAGTTTCTCTCTCCTCTGTGGGATATTTGTGTACCTTCATCAATACAATGAAAAAAGAAAATGCTAGGATAATAAGACAAGATCTCTGTATCCAGCCTGTTGAGACTAGTCTCTTACAACAGTGGTTGATGTAGTGCCATAGTCGATGTTCGCGTGTCTAAGTTGCAACCGATAAAATTAAAATTTTGTGACACACACACACACACACACACACACACAAAGAGCCGAGTCTCAATCCCTGCAACCACAATTAGGTGAGTACAGACACAGACAGACAGACACAGACACACACACAAGACACACACACAGACACACACACACAGACACACACAGACACACCAGACACACACAGACACACACACACACACCAGACACACACACACACAGACACACACACACAGACACACACACACAGACACACACACACACAGACACACACACACAGACAAAACAAAACACACAAAACACAGACACACAGACACACACACACACACACACAACACACACACAGACACACACACAGACACACACACAGACACACACACAGACACACACACAGACACACACACAGACACACACACACACACACACAGACACACACACAGACACACACAGACACCACACACAACACACACAGACACACAACACACACACACACACAGACACACAGACACACACACACACAGACACACACAGACACACACACAGACACACACACAGACACACACACAGACACACACACAGACACACACACAGACACCACACACAGACACACACAGACACACACACACACACACACAGACACACACACACAGACACACACACACAGACACACACACACAGACAGAACACAGAACCCACACAGAAAGACACACACACACAGACACACACACACAGACACACACACACAGACACACACACAGACAAGGGATAGACTCAGAAGTGGCCTTGTTTGCAAATGATGTGAAGTTAATGAGAATTAAACTGGTCTAGGATCAGGCAGGACAACAAAGAGACCTGGACAAGCTACTGGTCCAACAGCTGGCTCCTTGAATTTAACCCCACCAAATGCAGTCATGAAGATCAAGGAAGGGCAAAGAAGACTGAGGACAGTATAGCCTAGGTAGCCAACAAACCTCACTCAAGGAAAAAGGAAAAAGGTCTTGGGGCGAGTATAATACCAAGCACATTTGATGCACACATCAATCAATTAACTGCTGCAGCACACGGGCATCTGGCAAACCTAAGAACAGCATTCCGATACCTCGGTCAGAAATTGTTCAAGACTGTACACCATATACGTCAGGCCCACATTGGAGTATGCAGCACCAGTTTGGAATCCACACCTGGTCAAGCACATCAAGAAATTAGACAGTGGAAAGGTTTGCAGTGAGACTAGTCCCACAGCGAAGGGAATTGTCCTACAAAGAAAGGTTAAGGGAAATCGGCCTGACGACACTGGAGGACAGAAGGGTCAGGGGAGACATGACAAAATACTGCAAGGAATTGACAAGGTGGACAATGATGGGACACAAACAAGGGGTCACAATTTGAAGTTGAAGACTGAGTCAAAGGGATGTTAGGAAATATTTCTTCAGAGTTGTCACAAAGTGGAATAGCCTAGAAAGTGACGTAGTGGAGACAGGAACCATACATAGTTTGACGACATGGTTTGATAAAGCTCATGGAGCAGGGAGAGAGGACTCATTAGCAATCAGTGAAGAGGCAGGGCCAGGAGCTATGACTACCCCTGCAACCATAAATATGAGAGTACAAATAGTGTGTACACAGACGCACAATTCCCTTCCCCCAGTATGCAATATACACCTGTCCACTAACCCCTGGATACCCGTTTATTGCTAGGTGAACAGTTATACAAACATTTCCATCCACTTCCATAACCGAACATAGGTCCTTCAGTTGAGAGCTAAAGGCACAACCAACAGCTACAAGCCACTGGCTTATCTGATAACAGGAGATTAAAGTCCCCTTGACGAATGATGGTGACACGTGCCTTTGGCACCAACTCTTCACAGTCATTTTGCAGGTTAGCCCTCCCTCCCCATATGTGTCTAGAGATCTCTGCCATTCCAGATAACATGATTCCAAGTCCTTTTTAAAAGTCCCCACTAATTTTGCTTTCATGAAAGCAATCTTAGGGAGGAAAATCACTAGCATAGTAACAAATCTTGTGTATGCATTATAGCCAAGCATCTTTAACTTTGAAGGAATACAATTACAGTTTTAATTCAAGATATTCTATGACTGCATTCTGTTATGTAGTTATTTTAAATGCTTTAAGAAAAAGTGGGTTAAATTCTGCATCTTAATGAAGGAGGTTTATAAAATACAACATATACAGTATCGTGAAACTTTCCCCATTTTAACCCATTTTGGGGAGACCTTTATTACTATGCTACATAACTGAGACTTTAGCGAGCCTCCACATTAAAGATGGATAAGTACCTGTGGCTGAGTCTGTGGTTCCATACGATAATAAGACCACTCCTCCTCTTCCTCTTCTTCCTCTTCTACGTCACCAGATTCACAAACACCGTCTGGGATGCTGTCAAGTTCAGCCAGTGCTGCATCAACTGCAAGACAATGATTACGTGAGTAATTCTCAAAATAAAAAAAAAAAGAAAAAAAAGGTTAAATTTAAACTAAAAATAATTAAAAAATTTACACACAAAACCATTAATAAATTGTCCACAAAGCCTGTTCTCGGACTACACAATCAAAGGGGGACAAGAACCCCTGGAAATTTTATACATCCAAGGGTTTCTATTTAATAGACTTTCCCCACTAGTTTCATCAATCCAATATTAATATATAATAACAACATACATATATACCACATAAACATACATACATAATATCATACATACATATATACATATATACATACATATACATACAATATAATACATACATAACATATAACATACACACATATACATCACACATATATACAACACATATACATACACATATATACATACACATATATACATACACATATATACATACACATATATACATACACATATATACATACACATATATACATAAACATATATACTCACACATATATACTCACATATATACACACACATTTATACATTCACATATTATACATACATATATACATACACATATATACATTCACATTATTACATTCCAATACCTATATACATACTTCCACAATGTATTTTTATATACAACATTATAATCAATATATTACACATGTATATACACATCGTATATATATATATACACATGTATATTTATATATATACACATGTATTCACATGTATATAATATATACACTCATGTATATAATATATATTTATAACACATGTATATATTATATATATAAACTCCTGTTGATATATATATATATACTACATTGTATTATATATTAACACATGTATATATATTCACATGTATATTATACACTGTATATATATACACATGTATATATATATACACATGTATATATATACACATGTATTATACCACACTTGTATATATATACACATGTATATATATTATACACAAAACATGTATATATCTATATACACCACATGTATAATATATCATTATACACACATGTTTATATATATAATACACACATGTATTTTATATATATACACCACATGTTGAATATATATACAAACATGTTATATATATATATACCACATGTATACTATATATATACACACATGTAGATATTATATACACCATGTATATATATATATACACACATGTATATATTTTATATACACCATGTATATATTATATATATACAACATGTATATATATATAATACACACATGTTATATATATATATATACACACATGGTATATATATATATATACCACACATGTATATTATATATATATATACAACATGTATATATATATTATATACACATGTATTTATATATTAATATATACAATGTTATTATATATTTATATAACATGTATATATTTTATATATATAAACATGTATATTATATAGATATAACATGTATTTTATATATATATACACATTGTTATATATTATTTATATACACATGTATATATATATATATATACAAATTGTATATATATATATATATACAATGTAATATATATATATATACACATGTATATTAATATAATACACATGTTTATTATATATATATACACATGTATATATATATATATATTACACATGTATTTATATATTATATACACTTGTATATATATATATATATACACATGTTATATATTATTACACATGTATTTATATATAATATACACTGTATATCTATATTATATAACATGTATATATATAATATATTTACACATATATATATATATATATATCACTTGTATATATATTATATATACACATGTATATATATATTATATACACATGTATATATATATTTACTCTTGTATTATATTTATTTACACAGTAATAATATATACACATGTATATATATATATATACACAGGATATATTTATATATATATACACATGTATTATATATTATATATTACACATGTATATATATATTTATGATATATTCTCCATGTTTATATATATATATATAAACATGTATATATATAAATATATATACACATGTATATAATATATATATATACACATGTATTTATATATATATATACCCATGTATATATAATATATATAACATGTAGATTATATATATATTCCACATGTATATATGGATATATATACACACATGTATATATATTTATATAACACATGTTTAATATAACTATATATATACTCATGTATATATATATATATATACACATGTATATATATATTTTATATACAATGTTATATATATTTATATACACATGTATATATATATATATATACACATGTATATATATATGCTTATATATACACATGTATATAGATATATATATATACACATGTATATATATTTATATATACACAAGTATATACTATATTTATACTAAAACATGTATATATATTTATATTTACACTTCGTATATATATATATATATACACATGTATATATATTATATATACAATGTTATAGATTATATATACACATGTATATATATTAAAGATACACCTGTATATATATATTATATACACATGTATATATATATATATATACACAGGTATATATATATAATTACACAGGTTATATATATATATATATACACATGTATAGATATATTTATATTACAATGTAGATATATATATATATAACCTTGTTATATTTATATAATATACACATGTAATATATAGATATCACATGGATATCTTATATATATAACATGTATTATATATATAGACATGTTATATATATATATACACATGTATATATATATATAACATGTTCTATATATTTTTCAACATGTTTATATTATCTATACACTGTTTATATATATATACACATGTATATATATATATACACATGTATATATATATATACACATGTATATATATATACACATGTATATATATATACAACATGTATATATATATACCACATGTATATATATACTACACATGTATATATATATACACATGTATATATATATACACATGTATAGATATTTATACACAGGTATTTTATATTTATACACATGGATAATATATATATACACAGTATACTATATATTCACATGTAATTTATATCACATGTATATATATATACTAATGTCTAGATTTAGATACACATGTATATATATCATACACATGTATATATATATACAAAGGTATATTTTTATACACATGTATATATATATACACATGTATATATATATACACATGTTATATATATACACTTGTATATAGATACACATGTTATATATTACACATGTATATATATATACACATGTATATAATACACATTGTATATATATATATACACATGTATTTATATATATATACACATGTTATATATATATATATACACATGTTATTATATATATATATTACACATTGTATATATATATATATACACATGTATATACAGTATATATACACATGTATATATATATATATACACATGTTTATATATTATATATAACATGTATATATATCTATACACATGTTATATTTATATAACATGTATATATTTTATAATTTACACATGTATATTATAATATATACACATGTATATATATATATATATATTACACATGTTTATATATATTATAATATACAAATGTATATATATATACACATGTAAATTATATTCACTGTATTATATAAATACACATGTATATATATATACACATGTATATATATTTACACATGTTTATATATATACACTTGTTAATATATATACACATGTATATAAATTACACCTTATATATATAACATGTATATATATATACACATGTATATTTTTATACACATGTAATATATATATACAATGTAGATATATATTACAATGGTATTTATATAGTACACATGTATATATATATACAATGCTATATATATATACACATGTATAAATATATACCACATGGTATATATATATAACATTATATATATACACATGTATATATATATACTCTGGTATATATATATACACATGTATATATATATACACTTGTGATATATAGATACACATGTATTATATATATACACATGTATATATATATACCACATGTATATATATATAACACATGTATATATTTATTCACTGTATATATATATAACACATGTTTATATATATACATTGTATATTATTTTACACATGTTTATATTTATCCATGTATATAATATTACTCATGTTGATATATTTAAAATTGTATATATATAGACACATGTATATATATATAAACATGTATTTATATAGTATACATGTATATATATATCACCTTAGTATATATATTTAACAATGTATTATATATAACACTTCGTATTTTATATATACACATTGTTTATTCGAGCAGATATTCACTTGTATATAGATAGACAAATGTATTTATTTTATTCACTTGTATATATATAGAACATGTTATATTTAACTAATTGTATATATATATAACATGTATTATATGTTACACTGGTTTTTATAGATACTATGTATATATTTACACAGTATATTTATACACAGGTTTATTTATATACTCATGTATATTTTAGATTTTCACCACTGTATATATATATACACATGTATTTTTTTATACTCTTGTTTATATATTAAAATTGTATATATATATACACAGGTATATATATATACACATTGTATATATATTACACATGTATATATATATACACTTGTATATATATTATAAACATGTATTTATATATACACATGTATTATATATATACCACATGTTTATATTTACTACAATGTTTATATATACACTGGATACTAGATACACCTGTAGATATATACACATGTATATATATATATACACATGTATATATACTATATACACATGTATATATATATATTCACATGTATATATATATTACACATGTATATATATTATATATACACATTTTATATATATATATACAATGTATATTATTTATATATAACACATGTTATATATATATATACACATGTTTTATATATTA